TCCTGCCTGCCTCCCCAGAAGGGCCTTCCCCCAAAGCTCACCCCCTTGTGTTTTCCTTGTCTCCTTCTTTGGGCACAGCACCTCTCTCCTCAAGGTAGCAATAATGCACTCGCTCCTCTCCTTTCCCCTCTACTCCTCAATCTCCTGCCACCCAAGTTGATAAATTCCATCTCAGAGTTCTTAGGCTCAGCCAGCCAAAGGTCAAAGCTCCTAAGCACTTGCCTGCCTGACTCCCCATGGGCTGGTTCCCAGAGTCACCTCAGTTTCCCCCAACTCCGTGTATTGGCCTCCGTGTATTGGCAGGAGTGGCAGCATCTGTTGCCATGCCTCCATGGAACTGCTTGCCTAAAACTACTTGTTTTCTGGGTCTTCAGTTCTGCACCTGTCAAGCATCCCTTCTGCAGATCGCTCCTGTTGTTTTCAGTTTCTCTTTGATTTAAGCAGAACCACCTGGAACTCCCTGGGCTAGGTGTTGGATGCTAACCCAAAGGTGGCAGTTTGGGATCCACCGATGGCTCTGAAGGAGGAACATGAGGCTGTCTGCTTTCATCAAGACTCACAGCCTTGGAAATCCTAAGGAGCGGTTCTATTCTGTCCCATACAGTGACGGTGGGCCATCGTCACTGGTGGGCTCCCGCATGGCCCGGCCCAGACCTGCCCCTTTTCACTTCCAAGGCTGCACACAATTTTATTTTATGGAAGACACTGTGAACCCCATACAAGCTCATCCTGAACTACTTGTCCTAGTAGACTGCCTCAAGAGAAATGAAAGGCATTTGTAGAAACAAAACCAGCCTTATGAAACACGCCAAAGGGAGTTCTTTGGACAGAGAACCAAGGACAACAGAAGACAGCAACCTACAGTCATCGTGGGCGACATTACAAGCGAGCCATCGCCCTAGTAAAGAAGACCCAAAGTGAAACAAAACCGCACGGATCAAAAGACGTACCTGTTGGTAACTTTCCTGCAAGGAAGACAGCAACAACGGGAAATAAAAACACAAGAGACCTTAACGAAGATGTTAAAATCTCAAGAGCACAGAAAAGAGGGAGCCATAAAATCCGGTGAGACAGTAAGACCTAACGGGAAAGAAAACACTCACTCACTGCCATTGAGCGATGCACGCCGGCTCGGCAACCCTGGGCCCAGAGAGAGCTGCCCTCGGCGCCGGAGTAGAGAGCCTTCTCTTTCGTCCAGGGAGATGGTTTAGAACTGCTCGCCTTGTTGATTACAGCCTAGCTCATAACCACTATGACACCAGGGCTTCTGGTAAGAGAAAAACAAGCAAGAAAAAGGAAAACTGTCAATGAAATCCATACGTGAAAGGAAAGCCGCATAGAAAACGGTCATGAGCAATGAAACCTTTCGGGTGCCAGGACTGTCTGCACGTTGGGTGGTTTCTGTAGCTTTCCCCCTTCCTTACATAGAACTGTACCCACTGCCACTGAGTGAGCTGATTCCCACTCAGAGCAAGCCAATAGGGCGGAGTATAACCAGCCCCGAGCATTTCTGAGTTTTAAATCATTGTGGGAGTAGACAGCCTCGGCTTTCTTCCACAGAGCATCGCATCCGGTTCAACTGCCAGCCTAGGGGTGAGCACCCCACAGCTTAACCTACTTTACCATGAGGAATTCTAGTTATAATTATAAAGGCCATATTTTCCAAATGGAAAGTCAGATGTCTAACAAATTGCCTTCATTGAAAATAATCAGATTATGAGAAATTGGTACTGTCCCAGAAAATGCAGGACACATGTCCCCAAATGAAAAGCACCTGCATGGGGCTCAGCTCTTGCTCCCGCTGCTCCCCAGGGCAAATGTGAGCCCGGCTGCCACTGTAAGAAGGGCGGTGCAGCAGGGTTCCCTCTGCCCGCTGGCTCCAGGGCCTTCCCTGAATCAGATAAATAGCCATTTGCTGGGGCCAAATCCATAGACCAAAAGCTCTCTGAGCTGCCTTGGTTCTGTTTCCAAATGAGAGCCAAGATTGCCTCCTCTGTCAAGCTTACTGCAAGTCCCGGGTGGTGTCAACTGTGCACTGAGCTGTCCAACTAGAAGTATCTTGGAAGAAAGGCCTGGTGATCTGCTTCTGCAAATCAGCCAACAGAAGCCCTATGGATCCTACTGGCAGGATCTGCACACAGTCACAGGGATGGTGCAGGACCAGACTGTGTTTCCTTCCACGGTACAGGGGGCGCGGCACACATTTAAGGCAGTGAACAACAACAAAGAAGATTCCCACGACGCCTGGTGGTAAGAAACA